GAGCAAACCGCACTCTGTTGACTCTCCATCCACAGAAAACTCACAAACAGATTCAATAATTCAATAATGGAGCCGGTTGTAAGTGACTGTCATGATTTGCTCGACTCTCACTGGCGACAATCCGGCCTGCAGTGCTGCTAAATATAGAAACTCATGTATTGATTTAAATACATGCTTGGTTTGCAAAACAATACATGATGCTATTATATTACTATTGGCTAGAGGCGCCTGTTCTGGAATTCGGAGAGAATTTTTTGGACAGGAAAAACTGTCAGGTTTACTTTTTATTGCTTTCATTGATTGGCAAGTAGATTGTTATAAAAGAAAAAAAAGAGGGTGAAACCTGTCCAGCATGAGTCCAAGCCATATTTCATCCCAAAAAGAAAAGGTAATAAATGATATATTGTATTAAAAAATGTAAAAAAAAAAAAGGCTCATATAAGGGCCATTAAGATTGTATTGCATATATATATATATATATATATATACACACACACACACACACACACATATATATATATACACACATACACACACAAAACTACTCAAATTTTAACAAAAGAAAAATGAAAATGAAAAATGTAAAAATAAAAACTGATTCAAAATATTTAAAAACTATATAGTATCTTAATAATACAAAAAAAAAACACTAGACAGGATAACAAACACTACCATGCATTTTTAAAACTTAACTTATATTTGTTATTCTGCATTTGTATTTTTCCTATTTTTATTTAAAAAAAATGTATAATCAATCAATAAATATATATAAATAAAATATAAAAAAATGAGGTAATAAATTATATTTTGCCCATACATATACTGTATATAAGCCCATTAACATTTTATTTCATCATGATATTATTTTCAATTGTGTGACAATTAAGCACATTTTACATCCTAACTTTTCATATATATATACACACACACACACACACACACTCATATACATATGTACACAATGTGACCTGGAAAATATTTTCGTTTCAGCCTAAATCAATATCTATGTATTTTGGGAGTCCATCACAATTAGCAACGTTTTATTCAATACCATCTGGTATCTGAAGATTGAGTCACTCAGATGAATATTATTCTGATGTTACTCACTGCTGCTTTCACAAACTGACATGAGAAATGACATGCTAAAGTTTGCTGTTATACACTTGCACTCGACTGAACCATAATTGATTCTCTTATATAAAAGGGCAAGAGGAGAGCAGAGGGTGTTATATGCTGCCAAATCCACATTCAACTCATATGACCTCACTTCCTGTTGAGTTCACACTCAGAGCTGTGATGTCGTCCAGGTCACATTTTACCTTGAATCAAAGTAAAATAAATGAATAAATGAATTTGAAAAATGTATAAATTAATAAATTAGAAAATAATAAATAAATTAGAAAAATATATTAGAAAAATAAATAAATAAATTATAAAAATACATAAATAAATTAGAAAAATACATAAATAAATTAGAACAATAAATAAATAATTTAGAACAATAAATAAATAATTTAGAAAAATAAATAAATAATTTAGAAAAATAAATAAATAATTTAGAAAAATAAATAAATAATTTAGAAAAATAAATAAATAATTTAGAAAAATAAATAAATAATTTAGAAAAATAAATAAATAATTTAGAAAAATAAATAAAATTAGAAAAATAAATAAATAAATTAGAAAAATAAATAAATAAATTAGAAAAATAAATAAATAAATTAGAACAATAAATAAATAATTTAGAACAATAAATAAATAATTTAGAAAAATAAATAAATAATTTAGAAAAATAAATAAAATTAGAAAAATAAATAAATAAATTAGAAAAATAAATAAATAAATTAGAAAAATAAATAAATAAATTAGAACAATAAATAAATAATTTAGAAAAATAAATAAATAATTTAGAAAAATAAATAAAATTAGAAAAATAAATAAATAAATTAGAAAAATAAATAAATAAATTAGAAAAATAAATAAATAAATTAGAACAATAAATAAATAATTTAGAAAAATAAATAAATAAATTAGAACAATAAATAAATAATTTAGAACAATAAATAAATAATTTAGAACAATAAATAAATAATTTAGAAAAATAAATAAATAATTTAGAAAAATAAATAAAATTAGAAAAATAAATAAATAAATTAGAAAAATAAATAAATAAATTAGAAAAATAAATAAATAAATTAGAACAATAAATAAATAATTTAGAAAAATAAATAAATAAATTAGAACAATAAATAAATAATTTAGAACAATAAATAAATAATTTAGAACAATAAATAAATAATTTAGAAAAATAAATAAATAATTTAGAAAAATAAATAAAATTAGAAAAATAAATAAATAAATTAGAAAAATAAATAAATAAATTAGAAAAATAAATAAATAAATTAGAACAATAAATAAATAATTTAGAAAAATAAATAAATAAATTAGAACAATAAATAAATAATTTAGAACAATAAATAAATAATTTAGAACAATAAATAAATAATTTAGAAAAATAAATAAATAATTTAGAAAAATAAATAAATTAGAAAAATACATAAATAAATTAGAACAATAAATAAATAATTTAGAACAATAAATAAATAATTTAGAAAAATAAATAAATAATTTAGAAAAATAAATAAATAATTTAGAAAAATAAATAAATAATTTAGAAAAATAAATAAATAATTTAGAAAAATAAATAAATAATTTAGAAAAATAAATAAAATTAGAAAAATAAATAAATAAATTAGAAAAATAAATAAATAAATTAGAAAAATAAATAAATAAATTAGAAAAATAAATAAATAAATTAGAAAAATAAATAAATAAATTAGAAAAATAAATAAATAAATTAGAAAAATAAATAAATAAATTAGAAAAATAAATAAATAAATTAGAACAATAAATAAATAATTTAGAACAATAAATAAATAATTTAGAAAAATAAATAAATAATTTAGAAAAATAAATAAAATTAGAAAAATAAATAAATAAATTAGAAAAATAAATAAATAAATTAGAAAAATAAATAAATAAATTAGAAAAATAAATAAATAAGAGACAGATAGACAGACAGATCTTAAGCCATTAAAAAAATGTTCATTGAATTAAAATAAAAATATTAATTTGATCTAGTTGCAAGGCAACATTTCTCTTCTCTGTTTTTCTACTTTAACTAAAACAGGAAATGACAAAGGAAAAATATAAAAAAAACATTCAAAAATATGAATACAAAATAGAATATTATCTCAATGATACTAAAATAACACAGTTTACAAGGAAATGCTATTTCATTCTTTCTACTTCAAAATGTAATTACATGTTTAATTCAGTGTGCAACCTGCCATATCTTTGCAATTATTTCTGGAATTTATTAACAATATCTGTTTGTGTTGTTGTCGTTTTCCCCCCAGTTTAGCTCTTGGAAAATACTAAAAAATAAAATAAATAAATAAATAAATAATATTCTGTCTAAAAAATACATAACAGACATTTTAGGTTCATCAAAAGAAGTGAATTAACATAAAAAAATGAACAAGTGCAAAGTATTTTTCAACATTCTTTTACTCAAAATCATTGTCATGGCAATTGAGCACTTATCAGCTCAGTGGCTTTAATTTTCCATCATAAGATATGATCGTGCTTTCTGACGCAGAGTAGCAGAATGAACTGATGTTATCTTACCAAACGTGCTTGTGATTCATGTCATTGTCTGGCATCCTGTACAGCAACGCTGCATGCTTTTAATACAACGTGACATCCTGTTCTCTTCACCCACACTTAACTCCATCAGATCATTTCAACACAATTACTACTGAGCACAATCTATTAGATGCTGTCTATCAGCTCAGCTCAGCAGCTGCAGGTTCCTCAGTCAAGATCAACACTGAATCAATAGTGCGGCTTTATTTTCATGTTAAGAATATGAATGCAAACACAAAAAGTGAAGGACAGACTCTGGAACACTTCAAATGAAAAATCATCTATACTTGGATGAAAAATCACTCATTTAAAGTGGGACATCTCTATGAGCCAGACTCTGAGGCTGTGTGAGCATTTGGCTGTCGGTGCTCCATCTGGACAAAGACTCAACCTCATTCCCTCCGGACAGACTTTGGAAAGTGACTTTAGTTCTGATGAGATGTATATTTATACGGTCTCATTTTAATGCTCAGGACACTTAAGCTTAAGGGTGAAGTGCGTACATTTTAATGTTAAAATACTTTCAATGTCACTGGCAGGTTAGTCTAGACCTCAGGAAAACCCACAACTAAAACTAAAACTAAAAACACTAAAAAATTAAGTAGGTTAATTGAAATGAATTAAATGTTAAATTGAATAAATAAAAATTATAATGTTAATTTAAATAAATTAAATTAAATAGAATATTAAAAACGTATTACAGAGATATTTATTTGCAATTAGTTGCAAACACAACATTTCTCATTTTTATTTCATTTAAATACAAAATGAAGAAATAAAAAATAAAATAAAAATGTATAAAACCTAAATAGACCTACTTAACCAACACAACAAACACAACAAAATTACTAAAACTTTCAAATGAAAATGGAAAATAAATAAATACAAGCTACATTTAATTTACATTAATTCAATAAAATAGAATATTTAAAATTTTAAGAGATATTTTAAAAAAACTTTACTTTACCTCAATTAGATGTAAAGATATGTAATTTTCGTTTACTTTAAGTACTAAATGAAGAAATTAAAAAAATGAAATAAAAATAAAAACTAAAAGTACATATTTAATGACAATCCAAACAACAAACGCAATTACTAAAACTTTAACTAAAATGAAAATGAAATATATATATAAATCAAAACTAAACACTAATAAATACTAAGGTGGTATATTGATAATACTACAATAACACTGCAAAAATTGCACACAAATCTGAGAAGCAGTTGTGGAAAAACAAAAACAAATAATCACAAGCTTCAATAAATCTGCATTCTGGTTTGAGAAATTGTACCTTATTCTGATCCGTCCAGTGCAGGAAGTATCCCTGCGGATCCACGCGTAACGTCACTGGAGTCACCGTAGAAGAATCCTGAGCAGGAAAAAATTACATTTTTAAGTATAAACACACAGCAGAAATAATATAAAAATGGCTATGGACAACATATTCACAATATGCATTAAAACTTGTTTTATTTCTAGTTGCAAAGGCAACATTTCTCATTTCTGTTTAGTTTAACTTGAAGTACTAAAATAACTAAATGGGACACACTTGCTGTTGTTAGATAACAAGTTTGGACAATATCTAAAAACAAGACGTCATTATTTTTGGTCTGTACCGCCATACATTTTAAATGCATATATATCTGCTGAAAGTTTTCTTTTACACTAGCATATAGAGCAGGGTTATTATAATTAACTAAAAGTAAAACCAACAAATAAATAAACAAATAGTTACTTGAAATGAATCTCATTTTCATTCAGTTTAATTTTAAGTATTAAAATAATTTTTATAAAACAATACTAATAAATAAAAATGAATAAAAACTATATAGACTAATGACAAAAACAAACAACAAAATTACTAAAAATGAAATAAAATCAATATTAACTAAAACTAATAGTATATACTAAAATAACAGTGGCTCAGAGCAAACAGATGGAATAAAATCAATAAAAGTCTAATTTTAATATCAAATATGGCAGAATATAACCCATAAAATTCAATAATAATAAAAATTGTTACTTGAAATAAAATCAAATAAAAAAATCAAATACATATATAAAATAAAATATTTCTCATTTTCATTTAGTTTAGCTTGAAGTACTAAACTGACAAAAATTTTACAATAAATACAAATTAATAAAAACCATATAAATTAATAAAATACCAAAAACACAACAAAACAAAAAATAAAATTCCAAATATTAACAAAAGCTAATAGTATATACTAAAATAACAGAGGCTAAAGGTCTGATTTTGATATCATACGGTCTGTACAGTCAACTGCTGGAGTTATTTTAAGTACTCCGAATAAAAAGCACAGCAGAATCAAAGTCTTGTGTAAGCTGACGTCATGTTTCTGTGGGAGCTAAAGACTAATCTTGCCTCGCGCAAGAAAAACACTTGGGATTTCTGTGGCAATCCACTTGAAAACATGTTTCTCGATACGGTCTCGGGATGGAGCAGAATTTGAGGTTTGACTCAGACGTTGCATAAGCGCTCTATATTTGTGTGATTCATGCAGGCTGGTAATAATTTACCAACCGGTGGAAGTCACAACATTCAAGTCACAGAACATTTGAAAAGACAAGGGGCAAAGCTAACGTCTCATCCTCTGAGGAAAGGGGAGCATTCGGCGTCCTCTCCACAGAGAGCTGTAACTCATTGTGTTATTTTAGCTTTGCGTGGGTCTGCCCACATTCTAACTGCACATCTAAGTTGTGTCTTCGCTAATGTAAGACAGGCAAGGAAGATGGGAATTTAAAGCATGAAAGTTGCCATAGCAACAGGCCAACATTTCCCGTTTTATTTGCAGAGAAAAGCTTTTAAACGTCAACATTTTCAGCATAAGCTCATGTAAAGCTGCACGGCATTATTGTGCTGATGGCAGTCAGACTCCTCCAGAAAACTCACACCTACTTAGTGATTACAGCTTCTAAAAGAGCACGAATACATTGGAAAGATGGGATTTTGTCCCCTTTTAAACTTGAAAATGTAAAAGCAAGATGCAAAATGAAGCAATATTTCAGATTCTTGGACATATCGTTCAATTTGAGGCACAGACACTGATTTTCTTCTTCCTTTGTGACATCTCAAATCCATTTGGAGAACATGATCATCAGGTTTTGTTCAACTACATTCTAAAATCCATGTTAATTATGTGAATTATTCTTATGATGTTGTTCATTTGTAATGCAAAATGTGTTTAAATGAGAAAAAAATGGTAGAGAATACTAGATAAATGGCATCTAAAAATGTGTGATAAAAAAAATTTAAATGAGGAAAAAATGCTGAAAATGGTATCAGACTTAAGTGTACTACCTAAAATTGCATATCATAATAAACCAGCTTTTTTGGACAGAATTTATAGCAGTAGTTTCGAGCACTGATATTACCAACATCAACAAATGCTTTATTCTGGATAATTTGCATTAAAAAAAAAAAGTGTTTAAATTAGAAAAAAAATGCTAGAAACAAAATCTAGAAATGCGGGGGGAAAAAATGGTATCAGACTTAGTTACACTAACATAATAAACCAGTTTTTTTGTAATTTTTAATGAAAAAAAAAAGTTTAAAATGAATTAAATTAAAAAAAAAATTATAATAATGCTGAAAATGTTATCAGAGACTTAAGTGTACTACCTAAAATTGCATATCATAATAAACCAGCTTTTTTGGACAGAATTCATAGCAGAAGTTTCGAAGATTCATGTATTTAGCTTTAGAGCACTGATATTACCAACATCAACAAATGCTTTATTCGGGATCATTTGCATAAAAAAAGTGTTTAAATTAGAAAAAATGCTATCAGACTTATATAATGAACATAATGAACCAGCTTTTTTGTCATTTGTAATGAAAACATTTTTTTAAATGAATGAAATTAGAAAAAAATACTAGAAAATGTTGAAAAGCATATCAGACTTCAATGTACTACCAGCTTTTTTAAACAGAATTTATAGCAGCAGTTTCTAAAATGAATGTAGCCTCTATGATTAAATCTAAATATAAAAGCCATTCTTTATTATTTTTAGAGCATTACATAACAGATCAATGTACTGTTGTTACCAACATCAACAAATGTTTTACTACAGAACTCAAAGTCTACTACAGTCTCAAAATCTCTTAATAGTTGAATTACAGTTGATTTTTGATTAATGATGTAGCCAAATATTCAAGAGCTGTGTGAATTAAAAGCAAAAGTCCAAGAATTGGACATTATAAACCATATTGTTCAACCACTAAATGTAATATTACAGAGAACATGATAAATATTCAATGAAACGCCTCACTTCTTAAAATCTCTGGTAGCTTTTTGGGAAAGAATAGCAGCAGTTTATAAAATGAATGATTAAAAATGACCAAGAATGGCTTTTATACTTAGCCTTAGAGCGTTACACAACAGACCAACGTACTGATGTTACGAACAACAACAAATGCTTTACTTGGATAATTTACAAAACCTCCAAACGTTCTCAAATGCACATTAACGTTTCTTGTTCTGCTGATCATTTGTATTGAAAAAAAAGTGTTTAAATTAGAAAAAAAAAAATGCTAGAAAAATGGTATCAGATTAGTTACACTAATAAACCAGTTTTTTTTGGACAGAATTTATAGCAGATGTTTCTAAAATGAATGCAAAGATTTTATTTTTAGCTTTAGAGCATTAATAGACAAAAGTACTGACGTTAATCAACAAATGTTTTACTGTGTAAAACAAACGCATCAAAACCTGAATTACAGTTGATTTTTAATTAATGGTGTAACGAAATATTCAAGATCTGCATCAACTAAAAGCTCAATTCCACTAAAACCTATATTGATCAACTACCAAATGTAATTTTGTACACTTTCAAAATGATTTTTCAAAGTTGTAAATAAAAACAAAGATTATTGGAGTACGTTTTACGAGTAAATCCCACTTCAGTCAGTCTCTTGTCAATTTTACATTTACTTCAATGCGTAAAACTGTTCATTGTAAACGGTTTCTACATCAATTTTCAGCAAAACCCCTCATTTCTTAAAATCTCTGATCCGAAATAAAGCCTCTGCAATAGAAGAAACAACTAAAATCATGTATGCTTTGAAATACAGAAAATATTAGACATTTATCTTACAGAAAATCCTTAAATTCCTTCATCTGGAGCTGCAGGGAGTTTTCCTCGCAGAAAACTCTTTCATCCAACAGGTGAGTGTGTAAGAGATGCTCAGCACTCAATCAATGCTCATGCAGCACTCGCTACAAAATGCGACACATGCACTCTCTAGAAAACTGCATGCTTGTTTTTAAAGGTTTCATATCACAACACATAGCGAGGAATGGCATGAGAGCTTGTTGCATTATAGTGCAGTCAGGTTTCTAGTGACAGATTGATGCAGTGATACATTACTGCATACAAAGTAGCCTGATGTCATTCTCTTGAGGCTCTGCAGAGACTCTAACACTCAGTCCAGATGGAGTCTGTGAAGGCTGGGAACATGCTGATGGACTTGAGAACTCGAAACAGGGCGCGTTCCTCTAGAAGACCCCGTCTAACCTCAGGAAAGATCAATGGGGAGCTGATTGAGAGGGTCTGCGGCGTTTGCTGGGTTGATGTTGGGCTTGTAAACAATGCAACATCCGCGCGAGCGATCGAACAAACCGCAGAAGCATTCATTCTCTGACTTGAAGACACACACACACACATACACACACACACACAGGCTGATGCTGGTGACTTACCTCATCCCATTTCATAAATCTGCTGCCTCGCTTCAGACTCTCAGACACGCGCACCGGCTTGAGTTGAAGCGCATGAACGCCAGGTTGAGCTCCAGCCATTCAAGCTTCAACATTTACACCCAAAGCTGCGGGGGGGAAAAAATCAAGAGTCTCTCTCTTTCTTCTCCGGGAAGAAGCCAAAGCGGAGCGCGCTGGATGACAGCGGAACAGCTGTGGTGAATGGAAACGCTTTACGCGCACGGATGGTCATTTAGAAGCGCTTGGCGCGCGGACGCGTTAAACGCATGCTGTCTGATCGGACTGAACGATTTGTGATTGAGAACGAAAGGAGTGATCGAAGACGCGGAGCAAATGAGCAGCAGTGAGAAAGAGCGATCATAAATGATGGAGCGCGAGAGAGAGAGAGAGAGAGTGTCCTCCGCACATGTGCGCACTGAGATCCAGCGCCTCCTAGTGCGCATCGCATCCCTCCCCTGCTGGAGGAACCGGCACAATGAAACATTTCATAACACCTCTGCAAAGAGAATGCAGGCAGGACACTCGCGGGGATTTTTGCCAGCTATAGAAATCAGCATCATTTCATCTATTACAATACTTACAAATAAATCAAAGTTTAAATGCTCAAATATGTTGCAGTGGGAAATTAAATGCTATTAAATTGTTTACGTTTTTTTATGTATATTTATATTTTTACCATTAAGATTTTTTGCATTGTGAACATTTTTCATAACAATTAAGCACTTTTCCCTTTTAGTAACCTATTATAATGTAGGTTAATTAAAATAAATCAAATGAAAATTAAATCAAAGTTCAAATGCACAATAATACAGTATGCTGCAGTCAGAAATGAAAAGAATATATATTTGATAAATGCACATAAATAAAGAAAAAAACGAAAAACGAAAAACGATTTTTTATTGTCATTAAGATTTTTTGCATTGTGAAAATTGCCTTTTCTCTTTTAGCAACCTATTGTAATGTGACTAAAATATGACTTAAATTTACAAGTAAATTAAATTGCAAATAAAAGTTTAAATGCACAATGATATTATGCAGAAGGAATTTAAAAGAATATGCATTTTATGAATACATATATAAAGAATGAAAAAAAAAACTATTTTAAAGCCTATTTATTAGCATTCGGGTTTTTTTGTTTTTTTTGCATTGTGACATTAAAAAAAACATTAAGTTAACTTTTAATTTAAGTATTTATACATCATGGTAGTATTTGTTTCATACACTGACCATATCATTCTCATTATGAAATTAAGAGCAACAACAGATAATGATTTGTTATTGACAACATTATACATTTCTTTTTTAATGGTGATCATAATACAGCTCAAATCTAGAATATGATTCATGCTTGATGCTCAAACAGCCATCAAAACATTCAAGTATACAGAAGGAAAGCTGAAACTGTGTAACCGGCACAGAAAGAAGCACACTGAACAAAATAAACCCTGATATAATCTGCTTCCATTATTGACCAATTCAGGCGGATGGTGATAATTAAAACACTAATGCACTAATATTGACTGACAAAGACAGCGCTGGCACCTCTTTTGGGAGTCTTCTTTTTCCTCTCCCACATCTGGGAATATAAATCCTATACAGTTCAGCCCTGAATGCAATCATGCGTCTCATATATTAATTTCTCATCTTTCATCTCTTACAAACTAATCTATAAGCTTATTTATCTAATGCAAAACGATAGAGCATGCCCGATTAGTTTCTAGAAAATGAAATGTAATTTATGTTCAATTAATTAATCTTTCAATTAGGCTGCATCAATATTAATTCAGACCAGTGATGATAATTAGGCCTATAATATAATATGCTAATATTGGCAGATACAATATGATCAATGTTTATATTCATATAAAAGTCACATTCACAAGTTTTGTTTCAGTTCCACTTCTGGGAAACCTACAAGAAAGAAAAACAGCTATATTTAATTATATTATTATTATTATCATTATTGTGTTATAGTCAGCTTGAAAGTACATGAAGATTAAATTGGCTGTTATATATTGATCTAGAAGCGTCAAAGTGTGATCAGGTGTGATTTAACAGAACTGCAGCAAAAATACTCAAATTATATAGAAATTATCTTTGATTAGGAGAAAACCTCATCTGAGCATTTTTGTTATTTATTATTTATGAAGCAGGCAGGTTTTTGTGAGTTATACTGTGATGTGTTATGTAAGACGGTTCCTGGACAGAGCTCACATATACGGGAAATAACGTAACTTCATAAAATCCACAATTAAATTCATAGTGTGTGGGACAGATTAGATAAACCCTGAAATAGACCGTTTATTCAAGAGACTATTGTTTTTTGACAATACAAATAGACACACACAGTTGTATGTAATATCTATATATATATATAGATATTTTTTTTTTTTTTTTTTATAAAAACCCATTTTAAAATATGATATTTATATATAAATGTACAAAAGAAAAAACTATTATTTATTAAAAAAATATTAATATATTTATAATAAAGCATAATTTAAATATAATAAAATGTTTACGCATTTTATATTATTAATTTTATCGTTATTATATTTATTGTTTTTTTTTTAATTTAAATATATATATATTGTAATTAATATTTTTTAAATATATATTTACACACAAATATATCATATATTGATTATTTGATGAAAGAAACTATATATATATATATATATACAGTGGATACGGAAAGTATTCAGACCCCCTTAAAT